TTGTGCTGTATTTGATCGTTCAATGTAAATTTTACCTATGTTGCAATGTCTATATATTGTGATTCTTTGTGGTAATGTCTATATATCTTGTTTCTCATCTGTTTTGAGTGATTTGCCATTCACTCTGTAATAAATTGATAAACGACTGCCCAAAAATGTTTTTAACTCTAGCAAATATACATGAGGGTTGAACCATTGAAAAATGTTTTTCACCCAAGCAATTATATACTTGGGAGAGGTCTAATCAGGAAGTTAAACAGAAGCACGTTCCATGTATCAGGTAGCCCTGGTAGGCACCAGTGGCTGCAGTCACTATATGTCAGTGGTTGCTGCATCTGCTCTTTGCTAAGTGGTTTTCCTTCTCGAGTAATTGTGTAAATTGATGGGTGTGCATCAATTCGTAGCTCGGAGAGGCGAGTGATGTTCATATATATGATAGGCGTTTTCATCTTCTTGATGTTTTTCTCGATAATGTTTATCAAACTCTTTGGAAACCATGGAGCGATGTTTCCCTTGGAGATAGGAGCTGTTTGGTTGTAGCACCAATTTATGCTGCATGATAGAAGGAATGGAGTAAGTGATAATGTAGTTGGAAGTGTCTTTTCAACTGTTGTTCGAAATATGCACCTCTTGTGTTCAGGTGAGACACTTCGGAAGAATACTCTGGTTCTGCTAGGGTCTATGTTGTAGTCGACCCACCTAGCCCAGGTCCTCAGTGCTCCATCGAAGGCTTCCTCTCCTGCCATCTGCACCATCTTTCCGTCCCACTCGAGATGATCCCACCTGCATATAGATGGACAAGCTGTGGCAAAAGAAATTTGACATTCTGAAGTTTGGCGCTGCGAGCTTGTGTACTTACGCCCTGAGTTTGCCGGTGTGAGTCCACCAGTGACCGGTGTTGAAGATGAGGACGTCAGCACAGAGTGCCCGCTGCATCATCGGCGGCAGCTGGTCCAGCATGAGCGCCTTGGTCCGGTCGTCTTTTGTTTCGAGCTTCACGAGGAAGGGGCTCCAGAAGAACTCCACTGAGCAATTATAATCCTGTTGTTTTTTAGAAAATTAGAAATTTGGGTTTTGTAAGAACAAAAGGTTTTAACGTTCATTTTAGATATCATTATATCAGCTTATAGTCAATCAAAAGAGAAGTAGAGAGCGTTATGGTTCTAGCATATGATTGATAATTAATTTGTTGACATGTTCAAGAAGACAAGAAATTTGAAAACATCCGGAAATGAACATTGGGAACATATGAAAATCAATGCGTCTACGAGCTACAGTGATGCAATGTTTGTCCTATTTTTCAGCACACTTTAGCAGTATTTTTTATCGAAAGAATAGTGTCTTTTCTTATAAATCAGCAGCAGCCAAATTTCAGCTAGCCGATTTTGGGATACAAGCGCAAGCCACAGCTCGCAGTTCTGATCGACGCGCACAGAAATTTTCACTCTCACTGTCATACATATAAGAATGTATCCTTCATTCGGGTGTATTTCTTTGCATACTTACTGCACTAATATATATTCTTATACTAATATATATTCTTATACAAAATTGATGGTATCATATTCATATTGAAAAATATATATATTGTCGGTGCGAAAAGTGACCAACAAGTAAATATTTATTGTTTTGCCGTACGTTGTGCTCGGATGTGGCACATCACTCAATGACATAGGTTTATACTGGTTTAGGCAACGTGCCCTACGTCCAGTTTGAGTCGGTCGGTGACTTTATTTCCTGAGCCCAGATGCTCGAAGTTTGCTGTGGGGTTACAAACGAGTTGGAATGAGGGGGGATGTTAGAGGTCCGGTCGAGCTCTGGACCGAAGGGCCAAGAGTGACGGGAGCTCCTACGTGCACTAAATTTTGGAACGTATGCTTTGTGTAGCTTTAGAGTTATAGAGCCGTGGAGCTGTTCGAGTGCTCAGAATGTTAAAAGCTAGCGAGAGAGAGTCGGAATGACCGTCCTTTATTGAGAGAGAGTGCATCCCCTTTTATAGGTGAAGAGAATAGTCTTACAAGTTTAGAGAGAGAGAGAAAGAGAGTGTTCTCTAGTTTTGTTGCCCACGTCGTCGGGTACAAGACAGTTTATCGACACCCACAATACTGTTGACATCTAGATGCATGTGGCAGGCTTCATCGTGTTCTTCTGGTATGGCATATGTCGGCGCCTATCATACTGTAGGACAAATGTCGACGCCTACAATACTGTTTGTGTTCTGACATATCTGGAAGGCTGCAAAGTACCCTTCTGGCATGGCCTGACAGTACTGTCCTGCAGGTGTGCAGGGTATGATTCTCGGTATTGCGGTTGACTTGAGCGTCTTACCTTATCTGCTACGCCTGATTTCTTGGGTCCTCACCGAGAGGGCGTCCCCGGCCGGTCGTTCCTAGTCGGCTCCGACCGCGCCGGTCGGAGAAGAGCCGTAAGCAGAGGTTCGGTGTATTCCCGGTCGGAGAAGCGGGTCGGAGTCGGAAGTGAGCGTCGTCCCCTCCTTGACCAGGCCTTCCGATCGAAAAAGAGGGTCGGAGTCGGAAGCGAGCGTCGTCCCCTCCTTGGCGGTCGAAAAAACGGGTCGGGTCTGAAGCGAGCGTCGTCCCCTCCTTGGCTAGGACTTCCGGTCGGAAAAGCGGGTCGGAGTCTGAAGCGAGCGTCGTCTCCTCCTTGGTCAGACCTTCCGATCGGAGACTGGATCGCTCTTCCGGCCTGTCGTTAGGTATCTGGGTCGACCCAAAAGTTACGCATCGTTTGTAATGCCGTCTGCTGGGCCGAGCTTTTGCTGGGAAGCAAGCCCATTAGGGACCCCGAATTTATAAACCCGACATATATATTAATGATGACCACGTTCAATGGTCACCCTGTTCTTAGAAATTAAAAAGGAGTATTTTGTTAGAACCATGCTTTGATTGAGTATTGCTCTACCAATCTATACTTTTCAATAAGTAAGTATTTTTTCAATCAATAAAACTTGAGATGTATAATTATTTTGGAACAGAGGAAGGATGTGATATAGAATGATAACAACAATCAGGTATTTTGATTTTGAAATACGGTAACATCAATTAAGTGTGTTTGTCAAAGGAGGATCGGAGTACTTAGCTACGTACTTTTTAATAAATAAAAGGTTGCTCAACAGTAACAATCTCCGGACCCACATGCCCGCCACGATATCATCATGCGTACATACAGCGTGGGTAGTCGCGTGGAGGCAGACGTCACTTACCATGGCGCGGAAGATCCTGTACTCGGAGCCAGCGTCGTCGACGATGCGCGTCCGCGACCGGTCCGGCACCGCCGCGTAGAGGATGCAGGCGAGCGACTCCCACATGTTGCGGTTCAGCGAGTCGCCCACCAGCACCACCCGCTTGTTCCGGCACAGCTCCAGGGCCTCCGCGCCGCCCAGCCTGTGTGGAACACGATGACAAGGCGACCGGCATGCCGGCATATGCATGCCAGAGTCAGGGATGATCGATACTGGGATACCATCACTCACTACATGTACAGACAGTACAAACGAAAGCTTGTCACTGTGACCTCGTGCGGCCGCTGCATCCCCTGGGCTGCCACCGCCACCGCTCGTAGCCGGAGTCCGGGCGGCCGTTCCGGCGGCACGCCACCTGGTCGCTCAGGAACGGGCACTCCGCCGCGTCGTACAGCGGGTACCCGTACCCCGCCGGTTCCTCCACCCACTCGCCGTCGAACAAGTCGCACTGCGCGTCCCCGTCGTCCTCCCCTGCTTCCTCAGACGGCGCGGGGGCCGGGGCCGGTGCAGGCGGTCCGGCGTCCTCCTCGTCCTCCGGGCTCCAATAATCAGCAGGGCCGCCGCCTGCTGATGGTGAGATCGCGTCTGGCGCCGGCGCAGCATGGGGCGACGAGCCACGGGGGGCCAGCGGTGGCGGCGGCGACGGGGCCGCCTTCTGCTGCACCCTGGAGAACCGGTCCCACGCCGCCGCCGTGCGCGGCTGCAACGGCCGGTAGCCGGCGGAGAGGAGGAAGAGGCAGGCGAGCGAGCACATGGAGGTGGCGAGCACCCATCTGCGGGACGAGGACGCGGCGGCGCCGGCAGCTGGTGGTGGCTTCATGGAGTGATCCATTGGTTAGCTAGCTATAGCGCGCGCGCTCTAGGTGGCCAAAGCGAGCGAGCGAGCTAGTGGAGAGTGACTGGAGTCCTGGCGTCCTGGGCAGGGTGATTACATAGCGAGACGGGGGACGGACTGGCCGGGGACCAGGAACGGCGAGCAAGGCGTGGAGGAGCTGTGGCGCGCTGGATGGTTTTGGTTGGGCGCCTTGGCCGGTTTTGGTGAGGAGGGGTTGGGGTTTTGGTCGGGACTCTTCGGGCCGTGTGCATATATGCGCCGCTAGCTGCTGCTGTTATCTATGCGCGTAGGCACCATCTGTATGTGTGTACATATACTCTTGTGTACTCACGTGACTGAATGATAGTAGGTTGCTTAATCAGTGACTGTTGTTTACAGTTACAGCGTTGTTATTAATCACTACTAGCGGTAGTGCTTGCCGTGGGACGCAAATATTCTAGTGCCCCCTACGTACACACATCAAGTGCCCTGCATGTTCCTATAGCGGTTGTTTGAGAAAGGTACTACGTACTTTAGGCCGATCTGAATGGGCTCAAGAGTTTGTTTTACCAGCCACACGGGAGTAGCTAGGGTACGTCGCACGCTCCGTTTCGCAGCGGGCATTTTAATTTTGTTGAAAAGTTAAGCTGAAAAATACCATTCATTGATTTGTTGTGAGTGTATAAGTTCAAGCGAACAGAGCTGCACGCACACAGTGCAGCCAACGTGGGGTGCCTTTGATCCAGTTCGCCAAGACGAGTACACTGTACACGTGCACGGCCGGCGTCTTGGAGAGGAGGCGAAATCCCCACACAAACAATGTTCTGGAGAGCTGCACGTTACCGATTCTTTACGCGACGCGATGGACTCTCACCCCAGGCTCCATAATCAATCCAGCACCAGCTAGCTTCTTTTCTAGGTGAGATGCTGGTAAATTTTCATGCACTGATTCATGATCTGCTATAGTCTGGTTGATGGATGGCAGGAATTGCTTGAGAACGAAAATATTGATAGGCTCAAACAGACAGGTGTCATCTCTGTTTTTCTTTCCTCACTGTCCTGCCACAGGAAGTTGATTCATGGTTAAACGAGGACCTCGGAATCGCTATGGAGAGAAATGCATAGTGCTCAGAACTGAACTTGTCAAAAAATTGCATAAAGTGAAACCTGCATTTTCTATTAGCTCCTAGGCATATCTGCCATCTGGTTTTTCCAATTCTGTGATGCTTTTCTTTTCCTTTTTAAGACATTGCCCATTTGCCCTGCATTTTTAAGTTTGATTCAGGTGGGACAGCATTTAATGGTGTTGTTGAAGAATTGAAGAAAGTCACTACTCGAGTTGTGCATGTGCTCCCTGTTTCTGATGATGGTGGAAGCACGGCTGAGATTGTGCGTGTGCTTGGTAGGTTCCGATGTTTCTTACAATAAAATTCACTTCCCCTGTTACTTGAGAAATATTTTAGAATATCTGCGTGTGTCAAATCTGTTATGATGGTCAGTGTTGGCCTCCCTGTATTAGGTGGACCTGCTGTGGGAGACATAAGATCAAGATGTTTGAGATTGTCTGATGAAAGTACTGCAGAAGCTCTTTCTGTTCGGAAATTGCTTGGGCATCGTTTGCCTATTGATCCTTCAGAGGCAAAGCTGGAATGGTAGCAATATGTTCCTCTTTTGCAGATCCATTATATTTTCTCTTTTTAGTTTCTGTCCTAGTGTCCAATTAATTTCTTATTTATGAATAACCAATTTTAATTGTGGATTTCATAGGTACCAGATTGTAGAAGGAGACCACTCTTTATGGGAGGGAGTCTCTCGTCCATACAGGGAAACGATTCGTGCCTTTTTGGTCTACTTTCACAGTGAGGTCTGTCTCACATGTGACATGTCTTTTCTTTTCTCCCATAAACATGTGTCAAAAGCCTGCCCTAGTTATCCATAGGCTGAAGATTAAGCAATGCATCACCTATTCTCTTAGTGACACATGATGACTTCTACATATTTGTGCAGATACTTCGACGGTCAGCTGAAATGTTTTGCTTCACCCATGGCAGGTGATTCTTCTAAGGTGAAATTTGCAGTAGATCATATTCTTGCAAATCATCATTTATTTTCCTTGTGAGACAACTGTTTACATATTGCAACATTTTGATGTATTCAATGGTATAGTGTGCATAATACCTTGCTGTCTGTGATGTTACTTTTCGTACAGGGAACGACCCTTTAGGTCAAGTTATTAATCCTCCCAAGTCGTTTACATTTCATTTAACTTACTACAGATTTATTTATTCTTGCAGCATTGGAAATTTCTTTTTTGCTGGGGCACGCATATTCTTCCAGTCGTTGGATGCTGCAATTTTTTTGTTTTCACGCGTATCACAGATCCCAGCAGAAAGTCTTGTGCTTCCTGTTATATCCAAATGAACAGACGTGGATTATTTGGGATGTGAACTGTATGACTAAAATTCACGACGTTGAGCAAGCCGAACAGGCTGTATATCCACAAATGACAGACTTACTCTGGGATGTGAACTATGGGTAACCTCACTTGCCAAGCCAAAGTTTTACCCATGTTGTACAAGTTGCTGTATATATTTCTGTATTGCTCCTTGTTACATGCCCTTTGGATAAAACTTTACTTCATCTTTATTTACTTTGTATCCTTCTTTCTTTTGATGCTGGAATGTATTTGTTACATTTACTCCAATTAGGTAAGTAGCTTTGTTCTTGTAGGCTTCCATTTTTTCTACTAAAAAAAATAAGCTTGCATTTTTTATTATTCTGAGTCTTAGATGTGGCAGGGTTGTTTGTGTTTGCAAAGTTACTTCTACATATAAGCATGCACATCTCTTAATCATAAAACCGTAAATAAACATCTTAATTCCTTTGTTTATACAAATTCTTGTCTCTCTCTCTCTCTCTCTCTCTCTAATGAAAACCCTTCTGTTTTCAGGATGGGACTATCATTCGCTGCCAAAATGAAATATCACATCCAAGCAATGGACGCCGAGAAATTGTCAACAAGGTACTTGAAAGAGTACTATGTTGAGTGGTGATAGTTCCTGAGTTATTTGGCCTGCATGATGAGGCACTTTTGACATCTTCCATGTATTTTGAAGTTCTCTTGTTTTTATTCCACAAAAGGGGAATATATTAGTAGATCTAAACTTAGCTCATCATGGCTGTGTCATCATACTTTCGTAACATGTCTTTCAACCTGTTCTTGTTGTAAATTCTTCCTGTAGCTAGCAATTCTCAGTTGGTCTTGGATGGCAGATAGATTGGCTAAGTGGGGTTTGCCTCATCCTTTTTCTTGCCCACTATGCGATCAAGAAAACCGGTAGTACTATCCAAGACCTACTGGTTTTCTGAGTAGTTGAGATGCAAGGTTGCTTTACCACACTTCAGCAAATAGAACTGCAGGCTAGGCTTATACAGATGAGGAGTTGTTTCAAGCTGGTGGTGCCAAGCCTTAAAGCAGGCCAATAAGCAACTTAGTAGGGGGCTTAATTCTCTGAGCACATTAGTCACTTATGAAATCTGGAAACATAGGAAAAATCGAGTATTCAACGGAGTTGCTCCTGAGTGGCTTTGGCGGTGAGGGCAGTAGAGAGCAGGGCACTTTGTGCTGTGCAACTGGAGCCACAAGGACCTCCAGGGTCTGGTCACTAGATAGGCTAGATGCCCTATCGGCTGTTTCTCCCATTTTTTGTGGCATGCTTGTTCTATAAGTCTTCCTGGTGTGTGTGGTGATGTAAATAATAAATCCTCCCGTCTTTGATGAAATAACACGCAACTCTTCTGTCCGTTCGAGGGAAAAAAACAACCTATTCTTGTCAAATCATATATAGCAATATAGCATGTTATTCCCAAGAAAGTTGGGGGTAGGCTAAAGATGAAACCATCACGTCCACAATATGCTTTTGTCATTACAGTCGCTATGTATTATAACTAAAATGCTTGAGTTGATGTCTTGAAGAGCAAGCCAGCAACATCTTCTAATTTGAGTCGGTGATGGTGTGCTTAGTCTAAGGCTTTAAATTATCCTGTGATGTCGGTTGCTAGTTGCTACTATGTACTTAGTTACAGTTTCTTTGCTAATGACATGCTTTATGTCTCCATATTCATTTCAATTGCTTCTGACCTTTATATGCTCTTTTTCGTCATTCCAGAAAAAAAAAACTTTTCGTCACTATATGCATCCTTGATTTCTCACTGTGTTTATTCTTGTCTAATTGATTTTTCTGTTTTCTTTCCTTTTCTGGAAAGGATTGTAATTCATGCAGTGCACTTCCTTCAAGGATCAAGCGTGTGTTTTACATGTCAAGTGAAGGCAGCAACCTATTGCATGAGGTAGGTACTCATTCTATTTTGACTTGTTAGGCCTTATACTTGTCCTTGCCATGCAGGTCTATTATGAGTGCTAAACTATTCTTTAAGGCAATGGCTGCTTAAATATCTTGACCTTGGGGTTTTACCAAATCTCGTAAATACATTTAATATAACTCAACAGGCTGGTTCACATGTCTTGATGTCTGACATAATGGTGAACTTGTATTTGAAAATCACACTTGCATCTGCCAGTCACTGTATGGTGTCATCTAAGAAGGCATGATCCTTTTAAAATGCCCATATCATCAAAACTCATTTATCTTCTTGCATGAATATAAATATATTTAAGCAAATATCAGTAATGGCTTACTGGCATATAAACTTGATAAGCTATCATGATATCCGAAAATGATATTTGATATCTCATATCTTTCACCATTCCTGATTGTTTTCTGCTACACTTTCATTTTAGGTTTTCCCTGAAGTTAACCATACAGTTTTGGAGCAGCTAAGTAAGGTGGACTGCGTTGTCTATGCTTTGGGATCACTCTTTACATCAGTCTGTCCATCACTGGTAATGTTCATAAGGACCTATACCATTTACTTTTGTCTTCATAAGTTTCAGTTCATAAGGACCTATATCACTCTTTACAGCTGAGGCCATAAAACTATGAGATACTTTGTCCTGACTGCTAGACTCATAGGCATGGCCTTTGTTCATGTTCAAAATAATTGTGTGGGTTAGCTAAGCTAATCTAAACCCGGATGTACTGACTTTCTTGTACATTTTTTTCCAGAAACATATCTTGCTTGGCTTGATAAAGTGCGTTAGATGGGCCAGCTGTAGAAAAAAGAAAGGCTAAAAACAAGTTTCTGGGTCTGCGTTAAAAAAAACCAGCTCTTGTCCCTTGCTGTTCCACTGACACAGTTGTGGAGATATACGTGGCCTGCAAGGGTGTCCTGGCTGCTTCTGGACAAATGTCCTGCAGTGAGAAAATCTCTTCTTCACTTAAATACCCGGAGGGTGGTCTTTCCCCCAAGGGCTGTGATCTCTTTTTTTAGTTACTCTGCTGAAGTGCTTGACTCTGACCCACCTCTTACCTTAAAACCATGTGAGAGTTGGAATATTTACTTCAGGCTGACTGCCAATGCACATTTTGTTGAATAACACTGGATTTAACTTCTCACTCTGCACTTGTTTTGCATCATCCCCTCTTGTACCTCCTTTCTAATATTAAAGCTTATTATATGCAGGTATTACGTGGCATTGGGGAGACTATAGCATCAAGATCCATCCCCAAGGTATCTAACTATGCTAAGTGTTAGAGTATTTATTTCCTACCTGTATCCTCTATCATTTACTCTGTATCGGCTGCCTCTTGGGTTTACCCAGTGTGCTGCCTAGGGACTCCCGACATGTTGCCTGGGACTTCCCCCCTCTTAACTCTCTAGCTTAGCCTCTCTCTATATATATGTAACCCTCTTGTAATCTCATCATTAAGTAATCCAAGCCTACTGGCCTTCTTCTAATATGGTATCAGACTAAACCTACGATCCCTCTGCTTCCGCGCGCCCGCCTCGAGCCGCACCCGCCCCTTCACTTCTCGCGCGCGCGCCTCGAGTCGTGCCTGCCCTGCGCGCCCAGAGCCGCCGCGACCCGCGACCCTTCCCTGTCGCCGGCGTGCCCGGAGCTGCCGCCCCAGCCGCGCACCCATGGCCACTTCAACCTCCGGCGCCTCCACCGCGGCTACCGCGATCAAGCTTCGTGATGAAGCTCTCGCCGCCGCCCAGAAGTTGGAGGAGGAGGCCGCCTCCCTGCACTCCACCAACACCGACCGCAGCCAGCAGCTTCAGATGGAGGCTGACCTCCTCAAGTCCGCTGCTGCCGCTCAGGATCGCGTTCGTGCCGCCGCTGACGCCCTCGAGAAGGAGCGCGTGCAGGCCGACGCCCTGGAACAGCAGGCCGCTGGCCTCTGGGACCGTCTCCGCACGGACTCCCTCCACGACGACGACTCTCAGGACGACGGCGATCACTCCTTCTCCTCCGACGCCGTGACCATCGCTCATTTGCACAGCCAGGCTGCCGCTGTCCAGAACATCAAGAACTTGATTCCGATCGTTCTGGACCTCCAGTCCTCCAACTACTCCAGGTGGCGCGGCTACGTCCTCCTCATCCTCGGCCGCTTCGCGTTGAAGGACCACGTCCTCAGTGACGCCTCTTGCTTCACCGATCCAGCGTGGTCCCGCATGGACTGCGTGGTCGTCTCCTGGATCTTCAACACCATCTCCACCGACCTTTTGGACGTCATCCACGAGCGTGACGGCATCTCCGCTCGGGCAGCGTGGCTCGCCTTCGGCCTTGAACAATCACGAGTTCATGCTCCTCGGACGCCGAGTTCGAACCATCGGCGCCCTCTCCATCGATTTATCATCGCCAAAATGAAGGGCATGGCTGATGCCCTTGCCGATCTTGGCGAGCCCGTCCATGACCGTACTCTGGTGCTGAACATACTACGAGGCCTCAATGAGCGCTTCCAGTTCATGTCACAGTTCATCACGCGCCAGAAGCCGTTTCCCTCCTTTGCGGACGTCCACGCCGACCTGCGCCTGGCCGAGCTCAACATGGCACCTCCATCGACTCTCGTCATCTCTTCGTCCAGCAAGCCACCTGCATCCCAGCTAGCCTCTGGGTCTGCAACCCCGCGTCCTCACCAGAACGCCGGGGGGGGGGGGGCTCATCTGGTAGTGGCCGTGGCCGGCGTCGTCGTGGCGGCCGTGGCCAAGGCGGCTCCAATAGTGGCTCACCAAGTGGTTCCCAGTGGCCCTCCCTCCTCGACCCGTGGACCGGGTCCATCCACATGTGGCCCGGGTCTACTCCCGGTGGCCCTCGCGGTCCACCTCTCCGCACCGGCCCGCCTCCATCACAGCAGCTGCAGCAGCATGCTCTGGTGGCCGGCGTGCCTCCAACCTACTACCCTTTGGCTCTTGGGACATACCACCAGGTGCCCACCCAGGCGTCTCATCCTGCCTGGACGCCAGCACCACCTCCGATGCCTCCTGCTTGGTCACCATGGGATCTCTAGTCCCTCGCCAACGCCTTCAGCACCGTCACCCTCACCCCGCCACCGACCTCCTTAGACTGGGTGATCGACTCAGGTGCTTCGTCTCACATTGCCTCCAACCCTGGTATGGTTACCGTATCTCCATCCTCCTCTTTTCCTTCCTCCATTGTTGTGGGAAATGACGCCACTCTCCCGGTTGTTGGCACCGGATACTCCACTCTTCCTGGCCCTTTCCGTCTCAACAATGTCCTTATAGCTCCTGACATCATTAAAAATCTTTTTTCTGTTCGCCAGTTCACTACTGATAACTTTGTTTGTGTGGAGTTTGACCCTCTTGGTGTCTCTGTGAAGGATCTCCATACCAAGAACACCCTTCTTTGATGTAACAGCTCAGGGCCGCTCTACACCTTGCAGCTCCTGTTGTCGCCTTCTGACCCTTGTGCTCTTGTGGCCACTCCTTCTCCGACTACCTGGCATCGTCGTCTCGGCCACCCCGGCAGGGCTACCCTTCAGAGTCTCGCCCAATCATCTTCCATTTTCTGCAGCAAGTCTACAGATGACTCCATCTGCCATGCCTGTCAGCTTGGGCGCCATATTTGCTTACCTTTTACTAGTTCCTTGTCTAGAGCACCTAAAAATTTCGATCTGATACATTGTGACCTATGGACATCCCCTATTGTCAGTGTATCTGGATTTAAATATTATCTCGTTATTCTCGATGATTGCTCTCATTTTCTTTGGACTTTTCCTCTTCGATTAAAGTCCGACACTTTCACTGTCCTCCAATTTTTTCGCCTCTGTGCACACTCAGTTTGGTTGTACCATCAAATCCGTGCAATGTGACAACGGTTGTGAATTTGACAACTCTGTGTCTCGTGCTTTCTTTCTTGCCAAAGGTGTTTCTCTTCGCATGTCATGCCCCTACACCTCGCAGCAAAATAGCAAAGCCGAACACATGCTTCGCACCACCAACAATGTCACCCGCACCATGCTCTTCCAAGCATCCATGCCCCCTCCTACTGGGCCGATGCACTTGCTACTGCCACCCACCTCATAAATCGCCTGCCCACCAAAACGCTGCACATGAGCACTCCCTTCTTCGCACTCTATGGCACTCACCCTTCTTATCATGACCTTCGGACTTTCGGGTGCACCTGCTACCTTAATCTCACTGCTACCACTCCTCACAAACTTGCCCCGCGCTCTTCTTTATGCGTTTTCATTGGCTACTCTCCCGATCACAAGGGTTACAGGTGCCTCGACCTCGCCACAAACCGTGTCATCATCTCCCGCCACGTTGTTTTCGACGAAACAACGTTCCCTTTCTCACTTCGCCGACCCTCACCGCCTACACACGAACTGGATTTTCTAACTGATGACGACCCTCCGTCAGTCCCTTTTCTCCCTGCAGGTACTCCTGGCGTTGCTGCCACCCAGCCAGCACCTGCACCTCTGCGGGCTCCCTCTCAGCCGATGTCTTCAGACACCCCGGCGCCGGGACCAGGCACACCAGCGTCTCGGTCTCCTCCACCCGGTTTCACCGTGCCCATGGTGCCTCCTCCACCAGCGCCCGCTGAATAGGCGCCCATGGCGCCCCCTGTACAGGCACCCACGGGCCCCCTGTACTGGCGCCCCCGGCTAACTCCTTCAGCAAGCCGCCCGTCGTCCACGTCTACACCCGGCGTGCCCCCGCACCCAGCTCGCCACCTACATCCCCCGCTGGGGCTCCTCGACGCTCCGGCATGATTCCCTCTCCACCGCGCTACGTCAAGAGTGGTCCTCCACTGCCAACAGGAGCGGTTTCCATCCCGCCACTCGCCAACTCTCATGGCATGGTGACCCGCGGGAAGTCCGGATACAAGTAGCCTCGCCTTGCTCTACACACCGAGGCTCTGTCCCCACTGCCGCGGTCTTGTCGTGACGCTCTTGCTAATCCGCACTGGCGTCGGGCCATGGAAGAAGAATTTGCTGCCCTCTTGGACAACCACACTTGGGATCTCGTTCCTCGGTGCCGCCAAGGCAAATGTGGTCACCGGAAATGGATCTTCAAACACAAATTTCATCTTTGATGGCTCCTTGGATGATACAAGGCTCGTTGGGTGCTCCGTGGGTTCACTGGCGCCCGGAGTTGATTACGATGAGACTTTCAATCCGTCGTCAAGCCCGCTACCGTTCGCACACCCCTCACACTGGCTCACTCTCGGATCGGCCGATCCATCAACTTGATGTGAAGAACGCTTTCCTTCATGGGACTTTGTCGAAATGGTGTCTCGCTCTCAGCCCTCCTGGTTTTGCCGATCCAGCTCTTCCCGAACCACGTCTGGGCTCAACAAGTCCCTCTACGGCTTGAAGCAGGCACCGCGAGCATGGTACAGCCGGTTTGCTTATCTGCTATCTCTGGGTTTCATTGAAGCCAAGTCAGACACCTCCCTTTTCATCTATCACCGCAGCACCGAGACAGTCTACTTGCTCCTATATGTGGATGATATTGTTGTTACAGCCTCCTCTCAGCCGCTCTTATACCGGGTGATTGATGCACTGAAGAAGGAATTTGCCATGAAAGATCTTAGTTCCCTGCACCACTTTCTTGGCGTGGTAGTTCAGCGACAGAAGGACACTCTATTTCTCTCACAGCGTCAGTACACTCTGGACATTCTTGCTCGCCATGGCATGACCGACTGCAAGCCTTGTTCCACTCCTGTTGACACTTGTGCCAAAGTCTCTGCTGATGCCGGCCCCTCTGTTGATGATCCTATAGCATATCGCAGCCTTGTGGGTGCTCTCCAATACCTAACTTTCACCCGGCCCAACATCGCGTACGCCGTTCAACAAGTCTGCCTGCACATGCATGATCCCCGGGAAGTTCATCTTGTTGCTGCCAAGCGGATTCTTCGCTACCTTCGTGGCACTATCGGCTTTGGTCTTGTCATTCCCGCTTTCTCGCCCGACTCAAACTCATCGTCTACATCGACGCCGACCGGTCGGGTTGCCTCGACACCGCTGTTCCACCTCCGGCTATCTTTGTCTTCCTCGGTGGCAGCCTCATCTCCTGGTCGCCCAAGCGCCAGCCCCATTGTTTCACGGTCGGCGCCGAGGGCGATACTGCAGTCTTGATTGTTAGCGGCGTCGCGAAAGCCTCTCTGGGCTGCGGCAACCTGCAGAGCTGCATCACCCTACGGATTACGCGCGCCGTCTCTCATCTGCGACAACGTCAGCGCCGTCTACCTCTCCACTAACCCCGTTCAGCATCAGCGTACCAAACACGTGGAAATCGACCTTCACTTCGTCCGGGAACGGGTCGCCCTTGGGGCTGTCCGTGTGCTTCACGTTCCCACCACGTCGCTGTTCGCCGATGTCTTCACCAAGGGCCTTCCTTCTTCTGTTTTTATAGATTTTCGCTCCAGTCTGAACGTTCGTTCTAACGACGTTCCGACTGCGGGGAGGTGTTAGAGTATTTATTTCCTACCTGTATCATCTATCATTTACTCTGTATCGGCTGCCTCTTGGGTTTCTACCCAGTGTGCTGCCTAGGGACTCCCGGCATGTTGCCTGGGACTTCCCCCCTCTTAACTCTCTAGCTTAGCCTCTCTCTATATATATGTAACCCTCTTGTAATCTCATCATTAAGTAATCCAAGCCTATTGGCCTTCTTCTAATACTAAGACCAGGTTAGGTATCAACTTCCCATGCTTGGCTACAATGATGTTTTGATACCATTCATCTTGGGTCGAATGTGCCCTCTTAGTTATTTATAAATCAATCTGTAAGTGCAATTTGTCTAACTGATGCTTGGCTAGAAAGATGCTCTGAAGTGGCAAGCTTAAATGTACTCTATATATTAAATGGTTTATTGACCTTTTCACTATCCAATGGTTATTTGACAAGTGAAGCAAGTGTCCTAAACTTGCAGAGCTCATTGGTATTTTCTGCAGTTAGTATTAGTTATATCTCTCGGTGCTACTAAAAATATGTTTCTGTCTGAATCCTGCTGAATCCAGGTACTTCTTCTGAATGGATCACATGACAGAGAGACTGCTGGGCTGTCTGCCTCTGGCTTTGTCACTGCAATTACTGATTCTCTAAATCGGACATATGGTGATCCTCACAAAAGCTTAAAGAATCGTGTAAGTTTGTTCTATGTTCCGCTAAAAATTTACTGGAAGAATATGAAGCTATGGAAGAGTCAGATATTACAGTTTTGGGAATACAGGTGTCATTTTTCTGCTAAGATTCACTGTTGATTATTTCTCTGCCTTTGTGTGCAGCCCAATGACTATGTAAATGCTATATTGGTTCCAGAAGGAGGCCAAGTTCCTTTAGATATTGCAAATTTGGCAGCTCAGGGAATCTTTAATGTCGTAAGTATCTCTATTTTATTGGCTATGATTGTGCTTATTGATGTGAAAGAGGATGAGGAAATGTTCTTGTTTTCCCTACTATTTCCATTGTCCTGCATTTTAACTACCTCACACAACAGCGAGCTACTTTCCTAAGTCTTGTTTTGTCTAGGATGGTAACTCTTGAAGTTCCTGTTCATTCCTATTCGGGCCTCTCATTATGCAATCAAATGGTATTCTGTTTTTGCCTGAATAAAAATATTTGATGCTGAATCGCAAAAGGCACACTGGGGTTGCCTTGAAGTTTTAGAAAATCCAGTCGAGCAAGCTTAGTTTTAAAATATGGTTTATAGATAAACAACATTAGTCTTGTACTACGTAAAAGATATTACAGAATCTTGTGTAAGACATTGTATTATTCTTGTCCTAGTGTTTCCGCACTATAACTTTTACTGAAACGTTTGTTTTTCGTATGCCAATCCATATTGTAGGTAACCGTGAAGTCTATTCATGACCCGAAAGTTGGCGTCATATTTGATGCACGGTCATTGATCCACGCCCTAACCATTCTCATATCTGAACATATGGATATGTGTCTCTCAGAACGTGGTCATCTAACTGAAAATGTAAAAGTTGTAAATTGAGCTTTCAAGTAAAAATTGAATGTATAGCCCCCCTTACCAATTTATTGTTTTACCAATCGATCCATAGTTTTAGTACTCATATTTGTATTTTAGCTAGCACTAGTGCTGCAATTCTCCGTGACTTGACATGATTAATGAAAAATGAGACATGTATTTTTCAATTTCTGTAATTTCGTTTCATTTCAATTCCTTTGCTCTGTGATGGTTACCTTTTTCCTGCATTGAAGCTTAAATAAAACCTCCAGAATTTGCCAAAAAATATGAGAAAGACTAGCGCTCGGACATCTGGACGTGCCCACACGCCTTATGCGCTCCATGTGCATGTGGCAGGAAATAGCGTAGTTGATGCACTTCTCTATATGCATGCGGCCAACGGAAGGGTCCTTGTGCATGCGGTAGGACACGGCGTAGGCGAAGGGACATATGCGGCCAACGGAAGGGACTCTTGGTAGGAAATGGCGTAGGCGAAGGGACGCATGCGGCCAGCGGAAGGGACGCGTGCATCACGACTCTGCCTCCCACCTTGCTTGGGTGGGCCCCACAGTGCATGCATGCAGCTCTTGCTCGCCCGTCGACTGCTGTTGTCGTCGCACGTTGCTGCTGCCGCACCTCCCGGCCCGCCTGCTTCTGGGTACGCATACACCTGCGCATGCATGTGGGGCCGCCGTGCCCGCTTCGCTTCTCGAGCATACGCGGGGACTGCTACGCCCGAGGGGACCACCTTCGTCCATGCCCACATCTCGCGTCTGGTCATGCAACACTTGCAGCATAAAAGCATTTGTTGCAACATACGTTCGAAACAGATGAAATATTTACAAACGTACGCTTGCAACATATATGTATGACCAATGCAACATACATTTGAAACAACTAAAATATTTGAAATATACACTTGAAACATACGTGTATAGCCAGTGCAACATATGCAGCATCTAGATAAAACACTTGAAACATACGTTTGGAATAGCTAAAACATTTGAAACATACACTTGCAATATACGTTTATAGGCATTGCAACATATGCAACATCCAGATAAAACACTTAAAACATATGTTTGAAACAGCTGAAACATTTGAAACATACACTTGCAACGTACGTGTATAGCCATTGCAACATATGCAATAAATATACTTTTTAAACATCTAGATAAAACATATGCAACATACATCTAAAACGCATGAAACATACGGTTGCAACATGTGCTCATCTACTTGTTGCCCTCCAATGAAGGCTCGTTGACGCGGAGCTCGAGGTCGCCCACGGTCGACACTCGACAGGCAGATAGATTGCGGCCACGGTAGGAGGCACGAGGCACGGGCGGCGCGAGGTACGGGCGAGGGTGCGCGGTGCGAGGCGCGGGGACAGGCGGGTCGGTCCGTCCTTAAAAGGACGGTAGCCCTGAGGTATCGTTATGGAAAAAATTATTGCTGTGCAAGTTTCAGCATTATTATATAAAGTAATTAAATTCGCTTCCCTTGCTGATGAACAAGTTATATGTACCTTTTTCACTTGCTTTGAAGACTAAAGCATCCGGAATTTGCCAAAAACTCTTGCCATGCAAGTTCATACATTTATATGCAAGTGACTAAATGTTTGATAAGTCAAAAAACTCGTAGGTTGGGTGTTATCATGGTTGTCAAAATTCAACAGAAAGAATAATTTTCCACTCAAGACATAAGAAAACCGAAATTATATAAATGGTAAAAAAAGTCCTCTGTATTTTTTGGAAGGCAATCCTATGCACATGAGCCTTCAATGGCCCTGTTCGCTTATCTTATAATCTATCTTTTTTAGCTTGTTTTTTCAGCCGGAACAGTGTTTCGACTTGTTTTTTCAGCGAAGCGAACGGGGCCAATATCTCATGAGTGACTTGAAAATTTTAGTGATCTAACAATTTTTAACGTTTATCATTTATGCATGTGCTGCTACTATGACCAAAAGAAGCCATAAGGTAGGAGGATGGTTATGTTCCACCTAAAAAAAGGAATATTTATGGTCATAGATGAATACAAAGTGGTTGGAATACATCACAATTGGAGAATGTTAGCAGTTGACATATTGACATTTCATTGAAACTGTTTCTTTGGGAGGTTTGGATTCTTCATTTAGCAATAACAGGACTGCGGGAGGGTTTTTTTGTGAGCTTCGCAGCAAGCCAGCAACCTCACTCTTAAGTGATCACAAGATTGGCTTGCGATTGAATACACTCTTATTGGCTTGTAGATAATAGTAGTGGACAGCCTGCGGTTTGTTTTTCTTTTAAAAATACATTCATGACATTCTAATATCACAATAATTTTCTTGATTGAATTGGATGCCGATCTAGTTTGCTTCAACAAATCTCAGAGTAAAAAATTGGGCGTGGGCATGGGTATGGTATTTGTTTAGCCAAGTAAGAGTGTGAGTTCCCAGAACAATCTTTTTCGCAAGATTAAAAAAACACATCTCCAACAACTCTTCATTTCACCGCCCAAACTTTTGGCACTTGAAAAAAAAATCCATCGCGCGGATAAATACGCGCACATATCAATCACGCCAATCTAAGGTGGCAGGACGTGGGAAAGAATAAGTAGGACATGATTCTGATACAAATGTACAAGAGAGAATGTATAAAAATGGTTAAGGTGATTTAGAAATAGTTCAGGATTTCTGACGTAAAATTACCTTCTTTTAGGAATGAGATTTTCTAAATTGTTGGAACAAATATGCTCCCAAGTTTTTTTAGTCACTTGAAAAACTCATTAGTTTACCAAGTGACAGTGATATTTTAGAAACTGTTGGAGATGTTACACGTTCAGCGTATTGCCAAAAAAATAAAGAAATTGTTGGTTGGATGGATGGATTTGGGGCCAAACCGGACTGCGTGCGTGGATGCACGCTGCGGCCACGATCTGTTTGGATGTGTATAGCCATTGTAACATATGCAATAAATATACTTTTGAAATATCCAGATAAAACATATGCAACATACATTTAAAACGCATAAAACATACGGTTGCAACATGTGCTCATCTACTTGTTGCCATCCAATGAAGGCTCGTTGACGCGGAGCTCGAGGTCGCCCACGGTCGACACTCGACAGGCAGATAGATTGCGGCCACGGTAGGAGGCACGAGGCACGGGCGACGCGAGGTACGGGCGAGGGTGCGCGGTGCGGGGACAGGCGGGTCGGTCCGTCCTTAAAAGGACGGTAGCCCTGAGGTATCGTTATGGAAAAAATTATCGCTGTGCAAGTTTCAGCATTATTATATAAAGTAATTAAATTCGCTTCCCTTGCTGATGAACAAGTTATATGTACCTTTTTCACTTGCTTTGAAGACTAAAGCATCCGGAATTTGCCAAAAACTCTTGCCATGCAAGTTCATGCATTTATATGCAAGTGACTAAATGTTTGATAAGTCAAAAAACTCGTAGGTTGGGTGTTATCATGGTTGTCAAAATTCAACAGAAAGAATAATTTTCCACTCAAGACATAAGAAAACTGAAATTATATAAATGGTAAAAAAGTCCTCTGTATTATTTGGAAGGCAATCCTATGCACATGAGCCTTCAATGGCCATGTTCGCTTATCTTATAATCTATCTTTTTAGCTTGTTTTTTCAGCCGGAGCAGTGTTTCGACTTGTTTTTTTTCAAATGTTTAACAGGGCCATTATCTCAGGAGTGACTTGCAAATTTTAGTGATCTAACAATTTTTAACGTTTATCATTTATGCATGTGCTGCTACTATGACCAAAAGAAGCCATAAGGTAGGAGGATGGTTATGTTTCACCTAAATAAAGGAATATTTATGGTCATAGATGAATACAAAGTGGTTGGAATACATCACAATTGGAGAATGTTAGCAGTTGACATATTGACATTTCATTGAAACTGTTTCTTTGGGAGGTTTGGATTCTTCATTTAGCTCTAACGGGACTGCGGGAGGGTTTTTTTGTGAGCTTCGCAGCAAGCCAGCAACCTCACTCTTAAGTGATCACAAGATTGGCTTGCGATTGAATACACTCTTATTGGCTTGTAGATAATAGTAGTGGACAGCCTGCGGTTTGTTTTTCTTTTAAAAATACATTCATGACATTCTAATATCACAATAATTTTCTTGATTGAATTGGATGCCGATCTAGTTTGCTTCAACAAATCTCAGAGTAAAAAATTGGGCGTGGGCATGGGTATAGTATTTGTTTAGCCAAGTAAGAGTGTGAGTTCCCAGAACAATCTTTTTCGCAAGATTAAAAAAACACATCTCCAACAACTCTTAATTTCACCGCCCAAACTTTTGGCACTTGAAAAAAAATCCATCGCGCGGATAAATACGCACACATATCAATCACGCCGATCTAAGGTGGCAGGACGTGGGAAAGAATAAGAAGTAGGACATGATTCTGATACAAATGTACAAGAGAGAATGTATAAAAATGGTTAAGGTGATTTAGAAATAGTTCAGGATTTCTGACGTAAAATTACCTTCTTTTAGGAATGAGATTTTCTAAATTGTTGGAACAAATATGCTCCCAAGTTTTTTTAGTCACTTGAAAAACTCATTAGTTTACCAAGTGACAGTGATATTTTAGAAACTGTTGGAGATGTTACACGTTCAGCGTATTGCCAAAAAAATAAAGAAATTGTTGGTTGGATGGATGGATTTGGGGCCAAACCGGACTGCGTGCGTGGATGCACGCTGCGGCCACGATCTGTTTGGCGACCTGGCAACGAGTTCGTTGAGGACACGGCGGTGCAGCAGCAGCCGTCGCCAGTCGCATCGGGGCGGCGGCAGCCTGCAGCACTATCAAAGGTCTGGAAGACCAGAACCTGCATTGCTGTCCCCCAAAAAAACTATGACCAGCGCTCGCGGTGCTGTTGCTGAAGTTTTGATAGCCAAGCCAACGCATCTGCATCGCAAGAATGACCAAGCGCGCATGGAAATGAACTGGGAATGCTGATAGCAACTGCATGCTTATTGGCTCATGCGGTAGGAAAACATCTCTAGTAGGAGCAGTTTT